ATCTTCCTTTCGCTCACTTTTGAAAAAATACGAAAGTGACTTGTACATTATTAAATATGGAATTGAAATTTATACTTAAAATTGCAGTTTGTAGACGTAATATATTATCAGAAATCTATAATATTTTATTTAAAAAAAATAATCATAATTTATAGAAGATCTTTAATCACCATTTATTTGACATAATTTCTATATACAAGTTCAGCAATCTTCCTTTCGCTCACATAGAAAAATACCAAAGTGACTTCTAAAATATCAAATACCAGTATAGTGTTTAATTGAAATATAGTGTTGAATATCAAATTATTAATTTTCTGATATTATATGTTTACAAACTGCAATTTAAGTTACATTTTTCAATTCAAACTCTATATTTGAATTTACAAGTCACTTTCGTATTTTTCAATGTAAGCGAAAGGAAGATCGCTGACATGTTATGTTATGCAAAAAAAATTGGGTATAAATCTTTAAATCATCATAATGATTAATTTAGAAAATAAATAATATTAATTTTCTTATAATACACGTCTACAAACTGCAGATATAGTACATTTTCAATTTATACTCTATATTTAATACTTTACAAGTCACTTTCGTATTTTTATATGCAAGTGAAAGGAAGATTGCTGAACTTGTATTATTAGAAATTAGGCCAATAAAAGGCAATTAAAATCATGATTATGGTATGGTTATTATGAATATATATAATAAGTTGCTAATAATATACGTACTTACAAATAGCAATTTTACTGTAAAATTCTATTAAAAACAGTACAATTTCAAAATTCTAAAAAGTAAACTTTCGCTCACTTTCGCTCACTTTCGTCAAAAAATCTCACTTTCGTATTTTAGGCAAACCCTTTGTGACAGAAAACAAGAGCTGTCACAGGAGACAGCGAAGCTCGACTAATAAAATACTGGACGCAGTAAGGAGGACAAAATTCGAAAGAAAAATCAATTATGTATAATTATGTATTAAGTTATAGTAAAAAAAATAACATTTGTTAACATAAATTTCAAGATCAAGGGGAATAATTCTTGAAAATAGTCATGCTAGAGTTATGGACCTTGTCACACAAACATTTTGTGTAATGATAAGAAATATATATTTAAAGTTTGAAGTAGGGACACCTTAAAAAGTAAAGAAAATCCTAAGTTCAAAGAGAGAAAAAATCTGTAAATATTGCTTCAAGAGTTATGAACATTGTCACATAAAAATGTAATTGATGATAAGGAATAAGTATTTGAAGTTTGAGGTAGATACCTTTAAAAATAAAAAAGTTATAATAAAAAAAATAACATTTTTCTAGTAAAAAAATCTAAAGTTTATGGGGAGATAATTCTTGCAATATTGGTGCTAGAGTTATGAACCTTGTAACATAAGATGTGGATGATGATAACGTAAATATATTTTGAAGTATGAAGTGATCCCTTTAGAAATAAATAAGTAACAGTAAAAAATAATATTTTTTTATGGAAAATTCTAAGTTTTCAAAGGGAGATAAATCTGAAAATATTGGTGCTAGAGTTATGAACCTGTCACATAGGATGGGGATGATGATAACGTAAATATATTTTGAAGTATGAGGTTGATCCCTTAAGAAATAAAGAAGAAACAGTAAGAAATAGCATTTTTTTGAGGAAAATTCTAAGTTCAAGGGGAGATAAATCTGAAAATATTGGTGCTAGAGTTATGAACCTTGTCACATAAGATGGGGATGATGATAAGGTACATATATTTGAAGTATGAGGTTTGATCCCTTATGAAATAAAGAAGTAACAGTAAAAAATAGTATTTTTTAAGGAAAATTCTAAGTTCAAGGGGAGATAAATCTAAAAAATATTGGTGCTAGAGTTATGAACCTTGTCACATAAGATGTGGTTGTGATAAGGAACATATATTTGAAGTTTGAAGTTTGAAGTTGATACCTTAAAAATGAAAAAAGTTATAGTAAAAAATATTTTACTGCACCAAAAACTTTAATCTAAAATCTGGACGCGGACGCGGACGCCGGGGCGAGTAGGACAGCTCTCCATATACTTCGTATAGTCAAGCTAAAAATGGCAATGCACAGCCCTACAACACAGAATAGGTTATGTGGCAACTTTGCAGCTTTACGTACAGGTGCCCTTCCATGCATTATTTCAACTTCAAGCATGAAAGGGCACCCAAATAGAACCACTGACATTCCGTAAGCTAGCAGGATAGCTTCCTCACATGAAAGAATCCAAAGTCCCTGCAAGGATTCAAACTAACAGCAGTGAGGGGTAAGACTTATGTACATGGTTTAAAAAATTCATTTAAAATTAGACAGAGACGTAGGCCTATATTTATCCACATAGTGACATATATGTCTACGAATGACAGATTTTTGACCCAGACACAAAACCATCATGCATCATATAAATTGATTCAATGCATTACGAAACCATATTTTAAATGTGTCTCAGAAAATGTAAGTTCTGAAATTTGAAAAATAAAGTATACAGATTGTGATAGATTACCTATCTTTTATATACAGGCATATTCGCTCCATAAGAAAATACCAAAGTGACTTCGAACAATAATCAAATACCAGTATAGTGTTTAATTGAAATATAGTGTTGAATATCAAATTATTAATTTCTGATATTATATGTTTACAAACTGCAATTTAAGTACATTTTTCAATTCAAACTCTATATTTGAATTTACAAGTCACTTTCGTATTTTTCAATGTAAGCGAAAGGAAGATCGCTGACATGTTATGTTATGCAAAAAATTGGGTATAAATCTTTAAATCATCATAATGATTAATTTAGAAAATAAATAATATTAATTTCTTATAATACACGTCTACAAACTGCAGATATAGTACATTTTCAATTTATACTCTATATTTAATACTTTACAAGTCACTTTCGTATTTTTATATGCAAGTGAAAGGAAGATTGCTGAACTTGTATATAGAAATTAGGCCAATAAAAGGCAATTAAATCATGATTATGGTATGGTTATTATGATATATATAATAAGTTGCTAATAATATACGTATACAAATAGCAATTTTACTGTAAAATTCTATCAAAACAGTACAATTCAAATTCTAAAAGTAACTTTCGCTCACTTTCGCTCACTTTCGTCAAAAATCTCACTTTCGTATTTTAGGCAAACCCTTTGTGACAGAAAACAAGAGCTGTCACAGGAGACAGCGAAGCTCGACTAATAAAATACTGGACGCAGTAAGGAGGACAAAATTCGAAAGAAAAATCAATTATGTATAATTATGTATTAAGTTATAGTAAAAAAATAACATTTGTTAACATAAATTTCAAGATCAAGGGGAATAATTCTTGAAATAGTCATGCTAGAGTTATGGACCCTTGTCAACACAACATTTGTTGTAATGAATAAGATAATATATATTTAAGAAGTTGAATGTAGACCACCTTTTAAAAAGTAAAGAAAATCCTAAAGTTCAAAAGAGAGAAAAAATCTGTAAATTGCTTTCAAAGAGTTATGAAACATTGTCACATAAAATGTAATTGAATGATAAGGAATAAGTATTTGAAGTTTGAGGTAGATACCTTTTAAAAATAAAAAAGTTATAATAAAAAATAACATTTTTCTAGTAAAAAATCTAAGTTTATGGGGAGATAATTCTTGCAATATTGGTGCTAGAGTTATGAACCTTGTAACATAAATGTGGATGATGGATAAACGTAAATATATTTTGAAGTATGTAAGTTGATCCCTTTAGAAAATAAATTTAAGTAACAGTAAAAAATAATATATTTTTTATGGAAAATTCTAAGTTCAAAGGGAGATAAATCTGAAAATATTGGTGCTAGAGTTTATGAACCTTGTCACATAGGATGGGGATGATGATAACGTAAATATATTTTGAAGTATGAGGTTGATCCCTTAAGAAATAAAGAAGAAAACAGTAAGAAAATAGCATTTTTTTTGAGGAAAATTCTAAGTTCAAGGGGAGATAAATCTGAAAATATTGGTGCTAAGAGTTATGAACCTTGTCAATAAGATGGGGATGATGATAAGGTACATATATTTGAAGTATGAGGTTGATCCCTTATGAAATAAAGAAGTAACAGTAAAAAAATAGTATTTTTTAAGGAAAATTCTAAGTTCAAGGGAGATAAATCTTTAAAAAATATTGGTGCTAAGAGTTATGAACCTTGTCACATAAGATGTGGTTGATGATAAGGAACATATATTTGAAGTTTGAAGTTGATCCTTAAGAAATGACAAAGTTATAGTGCAAAAATATTTTACTGCACCAAAAACTTTAATCTAAAATCTGGACGCGGACGCGGACGCCGGGGCGAGTAGGACAGCTCTCCATATTACTTCGTGATAGTCAAAGCTAAAAAGGCAATGCAACAGCCCTACAACACAAGAAATATAGGTTATGTTTGGCAACTTTGCAGCTACGTACAGGTGCCCTTGCCATGCATTATTTCAACTTCAAGCATGAAAGGGGAACCAACTGACATTCCGTAAAGCTTAGCATGATAGCTTCCTCACATGAAAAGAATCCAAAGTCCCTGCAAGGATTCAAACTAAAGTGAGGGGTAAGAACTTAGTGTACATGGTTTAAAAATTCATCTAAAATTAGACAGAGACATAGGCCTATATTATCCACATAATTATATGCCTACGAATGACAGATTTTTGACCAGACACAACCATCAATCATTGATTCAATGCATTACAAACCATATAAATGTGTCTCAAAAAATGTAATTGAAATTTAAAAGTATACAGATTGTGATAGATTACCTATCTTTTATAACAGGCATATTTCTGGTTCGAACAATTTTGAGTACGAATTCTTTCGAAAGGTCTTTTACTTAAAAACACAAGTCCAGTGCACTGAACAGTATCAGATCTCTTGAAAACTGTAAATGGTATGTAAAAACTTTTAAATTTTTATGATTCAATTTGAAATTATGGACAAAAGGCGAAACTGAAAGTAGAAAAATATTGTTCGTTTTTCGACCTTTTCGCCTGACACGGTGAAGGTAACTGATTGGTAGCCATCTTGAATAAATCAGAACTTGTGATTTGTAATATAACAAGTTTAAAGACATTTTGAGTCCTTATGGTTCAATAAATCACATAGTTTATTTTTCCCAAAACATATTTTCTCTTGATGTTGGTTCGAAATTTTTCCCATTTGCATCAGCAACAGGGAACACTGGGAAAACTTACCCAAAAATCCCTTGTCTGTACCACCATGCAACGCGATTGTACTTGGGAACCAGTCAAAATATTTTGCGTAGGAGGGAAAATACTGTGAAGGCTGAAAACCGGACAAATTCACGACGAGCATTCGAATAATGCGGAAGTACTAGGCCTCGTCACTTAGAAAATTCTGATTCTCCCCAAACAGACTGTACTTAAATCTATTTAACCGACGATAATGATCCCATCCTTGATTAAAATCTGATGACTTAGCACCAAGGTGTCCTCAAAATAGATCTATACTGCATTGATACTCGGTCTTAGAATTTATACGTTTTTTAAGTCCCAGATTGATTATTTAGTTAAAATTTAAACATATATGAATAATTATCTTCTTTGAAGACTCAGTTATCAAACACTGGCAATGGCTTATGGGTCAACTTATTATGTTCAGCAAAACAAAACACAAATAATGTCTTCGATACATTAATTAATACTGTACATAGCCCACTCTGGGGCATTAACGTACAAAATCTAGTTAAATGCATCGAAGTCTTTAAATACTACTTCAGGGATCATATATTTTTGTGTTTTGTTTTGCTTAAAAATTATCTAAAAGACATAACTATATTATACTGAAAGGAACATGAATTATTAAGGGTATTTATTTTTTTTAAACTAGAATTTTAAACTGACCATTTTGTACATCTACATCATTGTAAATGATGTTTTAATCATGGCCGGAAGAGCATGCGCCTGAAAGCCTATTCATGATGCATATTATCAAAATGAGTCCAGGCACGTCACCGTCATTATCATCATCATCATCATCACCTTTTTATACCGAACTAGAAAATATAAGGTTCTATTTTTCTTCTTTGATCCCTTCTCCCAACTTCACTAAATGGTCATAACTTTAAATTTGTTTCATTCTACAGTGCAAACTTACATATTACGTACCCCAGTAACACCTGAAATGTTGGATAGAATGATGTTTGGTTTATGACGTCTAAATATTTTGCAAAACCAACATGATTCCAACGTCAAACCGACGTTGGGTTCCAACATCTAACCAATGTTTATCTTACTTCCATATTGTCTACTGGGCGTATGTGCCCAACTTTTTTGGCCTTTTGGGGGGTCTTTTTTTCTTCCCTTTTCCATATTGTTTTGTTTGTAAAATTGTTATTGTAGTGATTGTTTTGTTTTGTAATTGTAGCGTTTGTTTTGTTTTGTTTGCCTGTCAGCCTGCCTACCTACCTACCTTAGAAGTTGAGGAAAGGTTGTTTCATGACAAAGACATTCCATGCTTTCAAAGTCAACTACATGCAATTGAATGATGATGCCGCCTACAACCGCATCGATCATGGAGAAATGCTGATTGATTGACTTTAAACAGAGCATCAACTTTATTATAATGAATATTTCTAGAAATACAAAAGTTTACTGCAACCTATATCACGTATTATATTATCTGTTAATAAAGCTGTACACACATATAGGTAATATGTATTTGCCTTTTTAACAAGGAGATAGCTGTCTGAATAACTTGTTTCTTGGGAAAGGAAATTATCGCTCCAGCATATCTCAGCTAATGTTAATAAACTTTTACCTGATACAAGTCTTTCAAATGCCTGATATAATTATATCGATATAAGGACGATTAGTTCGGCATATGTCTAGATATATGCAATCTAATCAGAATGTATTTTTTGAATATCAAACGAAACATTCAGAATAACGTGAAATTATAACGCACCATTTGATATTTTTAAAGTAAGCGAATCGATCAAAAAAGGGAGAAAAATATGGCATACTTATCATGAAATTTATCTGAATTACTCCCCTTTAATTGTAAAATTTCTATCTTGCTAGTTGCTTAATTAATTTATTTATACAATTAGTGATACCAATATAATGTCTTTTTATTATAACTGATAAACTGATAGTTCTGTACTTTTTATTTATTAAAGAAAAATCCACTTTTGTTGCATTCATTCAAATTGTTAATTGCGTGCCGAAAAGTTGTCATCTATCAAATTGTGTTTAGCTGGAGACTGTTATTGCTTTGATCTATTTTGTATTATCAATTAGAGAAAGCTAATTTTAAAAGGGACTGGCAATGTAACTCACTGCGTGAGAGGTCTATAATTTTAGCTGGTTTTAAATACACGTGTACTCTTTATCAAGTACATTTGAACTTGGAAAATATCACATTTCATCCTACCATCTCTCAGAGACTATTATTATTATCATTATGCAGTATTATGTTGGCTTTGTATTACGTTATACTTTTTTATTAAAAAGTAGACATAATCCATTTATTACTTCATAACTTTATACATGTACAGACATTTCATAACCAGGGTTATGTTTTGTACGTAGCTACGGAAATACCCCGATATTTACCATTTGCTTATTATAGTAGTACATGTGTATGTATTTGCATCCTATGACAATTTGTCGCAATATTTGCGATAATATCAAGTTGACGTATAACAGGACTTTAATAATGTTGATATGTAAAATATTATTTTAACCAAACAATTCTGTTACATCTCCCCCACCTTGCACACACAAAACGAAAGTCGGCTATACAGCGTGTTTTTTTCGGAGCACTATCATATACAGTGCCACTTTTGCGACTCGTAAAAATGATATTGCAGTAAAAATGATATTGCACGGCCGTGCATATATTTTGACGTTACGTCATTTGTGTTATACAAACATAGCGTTATATTAATATTAAGACGCGCTAAATGTTGGTGTAATCCTATAAGCGCGTAAATGAAAAAATGATTCTTTTTCACTTGAAACGGTCTTTATTTTTTGGTATGTGATATATAGAATATTAAATTCGTGTAAGTACATTACAAAATTTATTGAACTCATTAAATAAAATAATATTATACTCGCCAGAGGCTCGCATAATAAAATTTTATTCAACTCGTTCATGAACTCAGTATTGTACCTACACTCACTCATTCAATATCCTCTATGTATTTGAAATAAAATGACTTTTAAATGAAATTTTATTTTTGAAAACATCATTGCCAGCCATAATGAAATACAATATACAAAAATATTTTATGCTAATATAATGCGCATGCATTCATCGAAAATATCTATAAATTTCTGCATAACATTGAATAGTAATGAATAATACTTCTATTGTAATAATAATTTAAATATAGGTTCACATATCAACTTGTCATCGGTACCGTTTGCATGTCAGTAAAAGTATCAATTTATATGATCGAATATATAGACATTCAATACGTACAAATCTATTATGTACAAACTAAATTTCAACTTGACTATCAGAAAAGCAATAAATCTTTTGTTAACAAAAGGCAGAGTAAAACTTAGAAATAAAAGTACTTGTAATATACGATATAAGTAACGTTCTAGATAACGGAACGTCGGTGGATCTACTATGGGCGTCAATTTGGTAGGTAGGGTTGCTAGTTGGATATTCAAATAACCAAATACCTACTAGTGATAGTGGATTGAATTACCAGCTACCAGCTTTTAAATAATTTGGAATTACAAGTAACCAACTAGTAGGTAGTTGTTTATTCTTGACAATCCTATTTCCAACTACCAACAACTGTCGCCAATGGTTCTATGCAGGCGCCCAGTCGTGCGTAGATGGGCTCATTAGGTCTTTCTCCACCAGTAAAGCTTGTGGGTCGGCATATGACCTTTAGTGCGTTGGTGCAAAGTTAAACCCAAGCACATAAATAATAATGTCGTGATTCTGTTTAAGATGCTGAATGTTTTAAAATCGCACGTGTAGTTAAATGCAGACGGTAAAAAATATAATTGGTGCAAAGAGCTCTACATGTATCATCAAACAAAATGGCTTTATGTGTTAAAGCTATTTATGAAATCAAACATCTAAAGATCTATGAAATATGATATTTGTTTACAAAGTCTCTCTCTGCCAGTGACATTGACACGTGTTGCAATTCTGAATAGGGAAAATATGCGATATAGATATGAAGTGTGACATTGGGTCATTCAATTTTTCCCAAGAGCCAATGGTGTATTACCACTCTAAAATATCACAGCTTCCTCATCGCTAACATCGCATGATCTAGGTCTTTAAGATTATGTTCTGGATAGGAAGTTGTACTTTAAAATTCGTGCAAAAAAAATATGAGCCTACACCAATAGTGTAAAGATATTTATTTTACTTAAACAATAATTAGTGCTCGCCCCAAAAAGAAACTATTTCTGACCCCCTTTATTCAAAGGCATGATATATACTTGAAAGCAATTACAATGCAATAAACATATCCCGAATAAATACTTTATTTTTCTTCCTCGTGAAATATAAGTTTAGATAACAACTTTAGATTCTGAGACTATTTAAGGATTATTTTTATTTGTTAAAGTTTTTCTAGCATACGTTATCATTGTAAAACATCAGCTTAAGTATGCACGGTTTGTCTTGGCGGTTGCTGATTTATTTTGGTGGGGTTACAATGCACGTGGGAATTGTTATGATATATCAGAACTATGAAAACGCATTTGAATTATTTGCTTAGTTTTGTTTGTGCAATAATTGCATTTTTTTTCAAAATTTTACACCGATTATATAACCGAATTCTAAAGCGTAGAGCATTTATCTCTATACCGAGAGAAGTTAATGAGATTTCGTCGGTAGTGTTTTTTTTGTCTGCGCAGATTCCCCCCACAACCCACCTCGTTATACCGTACAACATTATAAAGCGGGTGCAGTGGTCTAGGGGTGATATAGTCAGACAGATAGATGGGGTTGCCAGTTTGATCCCCCGCTGTACCAAAAATAAAGCGCTAATGAATCTTTCAGATGATACTTTATAAACTAAAATCTCGTATACTGGTAAATTACGGTGACGTAAATTACACACACCGTGAACTCAGATCCTTACAAAGAGACCGATGGCAGTGATGACAAGAAAAGAAAGAAAAACTTAAATAAGTGTCATTTTGAAACTCCTCAGTTAAAATCTTATTAAAAATCATGCGC